GACGACATCACAGCACAGAGTTGTGGGCACACTATCCAGGTTGCTGCTCAGTCAGCTGGTGCAGTTGAATCTCTTTTCAAGAGCTTCGAGCAGCTGCAGCTGCAGCTGCTTGTGGAGTTCAAAAAGTGCGCCTACATCTACTCGAAGAAGGTTGATAAGCACCTGTCCCAGGCCCGGCCCCCCCCCACCCCACCCCACCTCGCGCAGGACGGATACCACGAGGAACCTAGGTACAACTGCGACTCTGGGAGGCCTCAGGGTCGGGACCCAGAATGCCAAGTCTTCCGCGGCGTCGTCTCGGGCCAGGAGGTTGAAGATATTTCGAGGAGCTGGGGCGGACATCGGGATGGTTCACAGGATGGGGCCCGCGGCGTCGGCCCTCTGGGGTTCTTCGGTCTCGGGAGTGGCTCCCTCAAAGATGGCAGGCTCCGTATTGGCGCAGCTAGCTCCCTCGGCAGGCCCTCCAAAGGCGCTTCGGTTGGGCTCAGAATGTACACGTGCGGGCTCGGCACCAAGGTGGACCCTCTGGTGATTTACGCGGGGCACGTCATTTTCATGAGGGCCACTGCTGCCTGGGAGGCGGCCCCTCACTTCCAGGTCTTGCCCAGCGCGATGCGGCCCAGCGCGATGCGGGCCCCGATGCAAGTCAGGACTCTGGTCAGACACGGGGCGGTTCGAGCTTCTGATCGGCATGCACTTCATTTGCAGAACGGCATCGGCTTCACTTCACTCGCAGATCAGTCTACCCCATCTTCGGGGACGGGATCGCCAGGACGTTCAGGAAGAAGTCTGAGGTCTGGGGTAAGCATCATCAGAGGTGTCTCGGAGGACTGGTTTCGGGAGTTCATCGGCCTCAAGCACGACTTGTTCGATCGCAACCTTCACGATGATGAGCTTTGTCAGTTGTGCAGGGAGGCGCCAGGCATTGTATGGCACCGTCCATACGAGTGACCAGTTCATGCCGTTCAGCGTCGTGACCTAGCGAGTATTCGTCTGTGTGGTTGTGCGCAGAAAGTAAAGCAGCTAGGCCCGCTGATGGCGGAGAGGCTCGCGAGGTGCATCTTATCTCATCCCAGGTCCCTCTTCGACATTGGTGGGGCCCACTGAGACAGTCCACTGGCACCAGCGGCCTGAAACGGGCCTTCTCTCAGGGTTGCTCTTCTTGGACGGGTCTGCGAAGTACACGGGCCTCGACGGGCTCACCAGGGCAGGTTGGAGCATCGCCTCGGTGGACAGGTTCGGGAACCTGCTATCGGCGGCGCACGGTCCATCACCCAATGAGCGCGGCCCCGCAGCAGACAGGCAACGACGGGGAAAACTATGCTGTACATATGCTGACGCAAGTAGGTCTTCCCCCGCACCAGTGTTATCTAGGGCTCCCAACTTCGCGCTTCGCGCTGCGCGAAGCGCGAAGCGCGAATAACTTCGCGCTCTCGCGCCGCCCTCCCAAAGGGAGAATAGGAGGACGAGGAGGAGGAGGAGAAGGAACGAGGACCGCGAAGCGCGAATAACTTCACGCCCTCGAGGGAGCCCTTGGTTATTGATTGCCAGAGCAGATTGGACTCGCTGGCCCGCGGGCCTGGGCTCTCGGAGGGCCCATGGGGCCCCTCTTGCCCACCCTTTGGGGCCCTGCGTGGTGCGCGTTCGCTCTCAGCGATCTCGAGGGCCACCAGACGCTAGGCCATGCGACTGTCGCCGACGCCGAGGCGGGAAGACGCACTGAGTGGGAACGGCGGACCAACGGGCACGCAGATGTGTTCGCGAAAGTATGTGCCGAGCGCCACGGTGTCAGCGACGATGAGGCCAATGTGTACGGGGGCATTCGGTGCCTCGCCCGCCAAGCGTGCAGGTGGGTGGGGAGTGTCGAGGTCGCCATGTCTGAGGGGCCCCGTGACACGACAGGCCTTGTGCAGCGTTCGGCAGGCAGCGATGGCCCTCGGCAGCAGCCCCAGCATGAGGAAGCAGCTGAAGGCCAGGCCCTGGCCGATGATCCAAAGGAAGATGGAGGTTCTGTGGACTTGGGGGAGGATTGGCGGCCTTTCTCCCGGGAAGTGTTCAAGGCGAACGGCCACGCTGGTTGGCCTGCCCAGTTGTTTGAACCTCTCGGGACCCCCAGAAGCAGGATCCAGTTTTGTTGCAGGTGCGGATCGTGTTCCACTGGGGCCCCCAATGCAAGAGCAATAGGCCCGTGTAGGCCTAACTCGTCAACAGGCGGAATTTCGAACCAGCTGGGAAGGATTCGGCTGGGTAAGTTCCCGTCTTATAAGAAGGACCTGAAGAATTTGTATCTGGGGGGGCCCGCGAGGGCCTTAGCCTCGCTGAGCGCAGGGTCTTGGCTCAAATGCTGGAAGAGGATGGCCAGGCCCCCCAGAGAGGTTCAGGTCCCGCCCCGTGCTGCTTCGCGGGAGGTTCGCCCCGCGAGAACAGGTTTTGGGTTCGTTCGGCCTTGAAGCAGTCGGATTTACCTTGGGTTATGGACCTAGGGGCCGCCTCCCTCAGAGCCTCGCGCAACGACGTCGAGTCAGACTCGGAGGCCTCCAACTTCGGCTGACCGTCGGTGATGTTCTGGCTTCAGGCCCGTCTCCAACAACCTTCTCCTCCTCGTCTTCCTCCGCTGTGCCTCTTACTGCCTCCTCCTCGCGCCTCGAGCGCCCGTCGCAGCCGTTGTCGTCTGCGGGCGGGAGTCTACTCCCCGCCCATCTGTGCAGAGCGCAGGATGCCGTAATAGAGGTCGTACTCCTGAGGGGGGGAGGAGCAGGGGACGGGAGGGGAGGGGAGGGGAGAAGCGGGAAGAGGAACGAGGGGGGCGAGGAGGCAGAGGGAGAGGAGGGGAGGCAGGAGGAGAGGATGGCCGAAAAGAGGGGGGGAACTAGGGAGGGGCACAAGCACGAAGCGAAGCAGGGGGCGAGGAGGAGGAGGAGGAGGAGACAGAGTAGGATAAGAAAGAGGAGGAGGAGGAGGAAGAGGAGGAAGAGGAGGAGGAAGGAAAGAGGGATAACGCGGGAGAACGGACGGATGAGGTGCGGAGGGGGCCCAGTAAGCAGAGCGCAGGGCGCAACGGCCCCGCGACGCTGCCAGCGCCCGCCCTCTCCTCCTCCTCTCTCCTCCTCCCTCCTCCTCCTCCTCTCCTCCTCCTCCTCTTGGCCTCCTCCTCCTCCTCCTCTCTTCTTCTTCTCCTGCTCCTCCTCCTCCACCTCCTCCTCTTCACCTCCCTTACTCTCCACACCTCCTTCTCTTCCTCCTCCTCCCCCCTGCTCCTCCTCCTCCTCCTCCTCCTCCTCCTCCTCCTCTCCTCCTCCTCCCTCCTCCTCCTCCTCCTCCTCCTTCTCCCCCTCCCCTTACTCTCCTCCCCCTCCTCTTCCTCCTCCTCCTCCTCCTGCTCCTGCTCCTGTTCCGTTTTCTCCTCCCCCTCCTCTTCTTCCTCCTCCTCCTCCTCCTCCCATTCGTCCTTTTGATCCTGAAGCTTGAACTTTGCAACAATTTGACGGGTGGATGGCGGCCAATATTCAAACTATCGTTCTCGCCTTCGCGCCGCGCGCGTTTATTATAACCGGTTGCAGCCGTTTAACAATTTAACACATGGAGGGCGGCTCCTTTTCAAAATACGGCTCTCGCCTGAGCGCCACACGCATTCGTCTTAAACGTTTGCGGCAATTTTAAAGGTTCGCATGGTTGAAGTAGCAATTACGGTGCCCTGGTACGGCTTAGGATTGTCTGGACGTAACAATCAGATTGATTCGCGGCGTTGAAGTCGCAGGGGTGGTGTTCTGGCACGACTTAGGGATGTCAGGACGCAGCAGTCACGGTAATTCGCGGCGCTGAAGTCACAGATAGTATCGGTACCGCAACGAGCATACATTATTGTAGGGACTCATGAAGAGGGCACTTGGACTTATGACAGAATCCTTGGTGCGTCTTGGGTTTGCTCTGGTCCTCCTCCTCCTCCTCCTCCTCCTCCTCCTCCTCATCATCATCATCAGCATCAGCATCAGCATCAGCATCAGCATCAGCAGCATCAGCATCAGCATCAGCATCAGCATCAGCATCAGCATCAGCATCCAGCATCATCATCCATCATCATCATCATCATCATCACTCACCACCACCACCACCCCCATCATCATCATCAACATCATCAATCTTCATCACAACATCATCATCAGCATCATCAGCATCATCATCATCATCATCATCATCATCAGCATCATCATCATCATCATCATCATCATCATCATCATCATCATATAGCATCATCATCATCATCATCATCCTCATCCTCATCCTCATCCTCATCCTCATCCTCATCCTCATCCTCATCCTCATCCTCATCATCATCATCATCATCATCATCATCATCATCATCATCATCATCATCATCATCATCATCATCGCCTCTCGTCTCTCCTCCTCTCCTCTGTCCTCCTCTCCTCTCCTCCTCGGCTCGACCTCCTGTCGCCTCGTCGCCTCGTCCTGCGCCTGCTGCCCAGTGGACTCTCCTCCTCTCCGAGGCTGCTGCCTCTCTCCGTGGGCGTTGCCACCCCATCCTGCCGCTTCTGGGTGGTACTTTGCCCCTCCCTCGCGAGTGCCCCCCTGCGCGAGTCCCTGCGCCATCGGCGGGGCTCCCTGTGGATGAGCCCTGTCCATCCTCGCCGGGGCTGCCTAGGCCTGAAGAGTGGGCATGGGCAGCGCCCTTAGCTGGGGGCACGCGCTGGCCGTGCCGGCTCCGCCGCGCCACTGCGCGCGCCTCCTCCTCCTCCTCCTCCTCCTCCTCCTCCTCCTCCTCCTCCTCCTCCTCCTCCTCCTCCTCCTCCTCCTCCTCCTCTTCCCCTCCCCCTCCACCTCCCCGTCCTCTTCCTCCTCCTTCCCACTCCTCCTCCTCCTCCTCCTCCTCCTGCTCCTCCTCTTCTTCCTCCTCCTCCTCCGGGGCCATCTTCTCAAGCCGTCGCCCTTCGTAGCCGTCTCCTCGGCCTCGACGTGGAGGTTCCACTCGATGAGCTGAAGGAACCTCCTCTCCAAGGAATTGAACTCCTTCAGCTGCACCCCTCCGACCTCTCGGGAGGGCGAGCGGCGAAGGGGGGTTGGGAGCGGGGCTGGAGGAGCCGGGAGGGGGGGGCAGGAGAGGGTGTAGACCCAACACTGCAGAGCGGGGTCGTGCGCGCGCCTCCTCCTCCTCCTCCTCCTCCTCCTCCTCCTCCTCCTCCTCCTCCTCCTCCTCCTCCTCCTCCTCCTCCTCCTCCTCTTCCCCTCCCCCTCCACCTCCCCGTCCTCTTCCTCCTCCTTCCCACTCCTCCTCCTCCTCCTCCTCCTCCTGCTCCTCCTCTTCTTCCTCCTCCTCCTCCGGGGCCATCTTCTCAAGCCGTCGCCCTTCGTAGCCGTCTCCTCGGCCTCGACGTGGAGGTTCCACTCGATGAGCTGAAGGAACCTCCTCTCCAAGGAATTGAACTCCTTCAGCTGCACCCCTCCGACCTCTCGGGAGGGCGAGCGGCGAAGGGGGGTTGGGAGCGGGGCTGGAGGAGCCGGGAGGGGGGGGCAGGAGAGGGTGTAGACCCAACACTGCAGAGCGGGGTCGTCGTGCAATAGTAACCGCGAGGTTGTATGTCAGCGAAAATACAGCAATGATATCAATCATATCCGCAATGGTCATGGAAAAAGATTGAACCCAAATAAGCACGGCAAAGGTCAATACACTCTGCATGTTTGCTTGCCTGCTGTGCTTCACTGTATACAGGTCAGCACGGACACACACAATATATATATATATATATATATATATATATATATATATATCACACACTCGTGCAAACTTATTATGATCGGTGCGTCTCTGGTCTTAGATCGTTTGGACGTGTCAAATCTCACGCCAACCAACGAAGGTGAAACCGAGCGCCTGATGCGCTCGATCGTGAAACCAGGCGGATGGCGCGATTGAAAAGCGAGCCGGCATTGTTCATATGTGCCTCGTGCTCTCGGGTCTGGTCGGTTGGCTCTTGATGTTGCGCTGCGAGGCGTGTATCTCGCAGCACTGCCCTGATGGCACTGCCGTCAGATCGCTTGGTAAACTGATATCCGAGCTGCTGGTCGGTCGGAGCCCAAAAGAGAGGCAGCTGGCTACGCTGATCGTCGGCAACGAATTCGTTACTTTTTTCCCCTTCTAATGACTCCTTGAGGCCTACTAGGTCTAGCAAAAGGCGCCGCTCTGACGGGAGCTTGGAGTAACCGTTTTTGTGCGTCGTATCGTAAAAGCTAGCGCAACCTGTGACCTGAGCAAGTGGCAGCAAGCTCGGGGGAATATATTCCGGATGAGCATCTGGTATCTCAAGCGAAGCGAAAACACAGCGTGTGATCTGAGCACAGCCTAATGCGTCTACTGCTGGCATCGTCTCAGCTGCCAGACTAGATCTGCAGACCCTCTTGATGGTGCCTGATCTCCAATCAACGATCCCCGCTCGCGCCTTGTCGCCGCACAACAGCTTGGCCTCGGCGATGAACGTGACGTAGCCGCCGGCCTGCGAGCGGATCTGGATATTCTTGTCCTTGCTGCCCACGATCTTGGTGAGTAGCGTAGCTATGACACCTTCAGGTGGCTCGTCAGCATTGGCCCAGCTGGCGTCGTGGTAAGTGACTAGGCAAAGCGGTCCACGTAGCTTCGGGAATTCCAGTCCCACGTCCGCGTGCTTCCGCGCCAGCTTGATGAGCCGATTCGTCTCGAGCAGGTACTGGATGGTGGGCTTGTTCTGGGTGCGCTGGCCCATGGCTACTCCAGCTGACAGGTCTGGTCGAATCTGCGATGAGAGCCATCCAAGCGCTCCGAGGGTGGAGCGGTTGTCCGAAAACTCGGCTGGCGTGGCCTCCGCCGACGGCTCCGTCTTGCGCTCCTTGCTGAACGCGATATCCTCGATCGTGTTCGCGAGCTCTGTCTGGCGTAGGTGTAGGACACCCTCCTCATCGCGCCGCGCCTGCTTGCCACAAAAGGTAAATTGCAAACCCCTCCAGTCGCCCCACGGCAAGAACTTGTAGAGCCCGTCGTACAGGGTCGGGTACTTGGGCGAGACGCCCAGCAGCAGGTCATCCACGTGGGCGACCACCACCGCGCACAGCTCCCCGTGCTTGTCGTAGCCGTAGTACAGCGCTGGATCCAGCGAGTGCTGACGAAGGCGGAACACGTAGTCACCTAGCTTCTCCTCCACCGCAAGCAAGGTCCTGTTGAGCTTAGCCCACCACTGTCGCGGTGCGATGGCTAGCCCGAAGACTCCCTTGAGGATCTTGATCAACTGCTTCGGGTGCAACCCAGGTAAGCCCTCGCGGGGCTGAGCCATGTGCAACTGCTGGTCGGGCTGCTCGTCGCCTTGCATGAAAGCCGCCTCCACGTCCGCTGCGTAAATCTCCAGGCCGAACCTCTGGCAGACGGTGAAGAACAGTATAGTCGAGTTGCGGGTGGCCGTAGGCGCATCTGTGCGCAGGTCGCCCTGAGCGAGACGCGGGCCCATGTGACCCCCGATGCAGAGTCGGGCCTTGGCCTTGACCGGCAGCGGGTGCCTGTCAGTCCGCAGCGGCGCGTTCTTATCCCGGTACACAAACCGGCTGGGCAAGATGAGGTTGGCCTTGGCCCTGCCCCTGACCGCTTCGGACTCCTCGATGGTGAGCACCTGACAGGATCCGTATTTCTGCCACTCGCTCCACTGCTTGGCCGCCGCCTCTCGGTAGAGCTCCCTGTCGGAGTCCTTGATGGCCCTCCAGTGGATCTCCTTGTCGGCTTGCTTGCGCTTGATCCTCTCGGCGACGATGGAGGTCTGCATCGCTTCTCTGGGAAACCTCGAACGCTCTCTAGCGCCCTCCTGCTCGGATCCGGCCGCTACTCCGCCGTCGGGCACGGCCGCCCGACCGCGCGAGGCTGTCCTCGGGGGTGGTCCTCCGGAGCCCGCGTGCTCTGGCGGTCTGCAGGCGCTTGAGGGCCGGGCCGAAATCGCCGCTGTCCGTCCCGTCGAAGGTCGCTCGCCGTCGTCGGAACTCGACGGGATCGTATGGCTGCGCCACCAAGGCTGACTGAGGTATGTCGGCTCGGTCGGCGGGCAGCACCTCGATCTGCTCCTGGGAGTTCGGGCCCTCAGGAACGTTCAGCCTCAAGTCGTCGTCGTCTGGGCTGTCGGTGAACTCCCGCCACGCCTGCTCCATCTCGTCTGGCTGGACCTCGGGCTGGACTGGCTCGGGGCGGATGTCCTTCACCAGGGCCTCCTCCTGCTCGAGTGAGTCGCGAGCCCCGTTGAGCTCGGCCACGGCCTGGCCGATCCCGCCCCGACCGTTCGGGAACCAGACGTCGTCCGGAGCGAGCGCCTTGACGTGCTCTGGGGCCACCAGCAGGGTGTGGCCTCCCAGCGAGACCCAAGTGTTGTTGCCCTGGTGACCGATGACCACGCACGGCCCCCGCCAGATGCCTATCTTGGCGTTGCGGTTGTGCTGCTCCCTCTGCCCCTTCTTCTTGACTTGGCGGAAAATGTAGCACATCTCGCCCACTGACAAGGGCGTGGCCACGGTGCGCGCGCGAGCCAGCATAGCTCGTCTGAGCTGGTCGTCGTCTGCATCCGCATGAACGATTCGCGCGCTGCCGTCCGAATAACATATCGGCGGCGAATACTCTCGTCATTGGTGGCGAGGCTGTGGGCATTGTAGTTGGCCGCGTCGTCCACCAGGTCGGCGGGCATCTTGGGATCGCGTCCAAGCACCCACTGCGCGGGGCTGCAGCCGGCCCGCCGCCTCAGCGAGTTCTTCGCGCCTGGCACCATGATGCCCAGTGTGCGCATCTCGTCCTCGCCCCTGATCGACGAGTGCTCGATCGTCCTCGCAGCGAGCTCCCCCCACCAGGCCCCCTGACGTTCCGCTCGACCGAGCTGCCAGTGGGCTTGTCCAGCGATAGGTAGCTGCACCGTGTCGAAAGACTGGAACGGCTCGCTGAGAACGCCGCCGAACCCCCTCTCCATGTCGAAGTGGACTCGGTCCGGGACGCCGGCCCAGGAGGCCCAGCACCTCTCGAAGGCCGTGGCGAACTCCTGGCTGGCGTGGCGACCGATCAGCGTCGCGACGTGGAAGGTAGTGGCCAAGTCGATGATGCTGAAGTTCCAGTAGCTTTAAGTAGCCGTCTTCTCAATAAACATCAACTACCAGGTGAATATATTTCTACCAAAAAGTGTATCAATTTGTTGTTGCTGATTCTACCAGTGCGAGATCTATGGTGGCACAGATCCTGTTGGGTAAAAACCCGAGTGGGCGAGTCCTATTGAATTGAAATGTCCATGGTTTTGTCGTATCAACTTGAAATGTCTGTATTTTTTTCCTATCAAAATGCCTATCGCGCGAACTCTGGCAGATATTCTGCATGCCCAAATGAGCTTCGGGCAATTGTTGAGCATGTTGTTGGCTGCTATATCACTGGCGTGAGATTCACGCGGGCCGCGGCGTCGCGGCGTCGCGGGGGCGAAGGCGGAGGGCGCGAAAACTTTACAAATATGTAGAATTCTCGCGGTTTCGCAACGTCGATGCTCGGGCGCGAAGGCGGAGGGGGCGAAAACTCTACAAATATGTCGCACAGTCGCGGCTTCGTGGCGTCGCTGCGCGGGGGCGAAGTCGGAGGGGGCGAAAGCCGTAGCCCTAGCCGCCACCCTAGCCGCTGGGCCCTAGCCCCTGGCCCTGGCCCTAGCCCTAGCGGCTAGGGCCTAGCCGCTAGCCCTAGCCCTAACCCCGCAAACATGTCGAAGCGGCGTCGCGGGGGCGAAGGCGGAGGGGGCGAAAGTCCTGCAAAGATGTCGCGGCGGTCGCGGCATCGCGGGGTCGCCGCGCGGGGTCGAAGGCGGAGGGGGCGGAAGCTCTACACCCTACACCCTACACTGTACACCCTATCCTACAAAAAGAATTCGGTGAAGGGGCGGGGCGGACTATCACGACCCCCACCGCGCCCCCTCCTGCCGCGGCAAGCATTCCCAGCCGCGAGGGGGAGATCCGCCGACGCAGACGGGGGTTCCAGATAAAACAGGGGCCGCGATCATCCGCCCCCCTCCCTTCAACCGAACATACAAGGCCCATGTCAGCACGCCCCTCACATGCATCGCGGGTTGTGGCGGATGGAGAAGGGCCGCAGGCCTTAGCAACGCCGCCAAAGGGAAGGCCACTGCGAGGGGGGTCGCCTCTAGCTGCCTGTCGACCTACAGTGTAGGTAGCTAAGCCCACAACTAGGACACTAGGACACTAAGAACTATGGGGACTAGGAATTAGGTCCTAGGAGTTAGGAGAGTCGCCACTTGGACCATCTCGAGGTTGCCTGATGTTTGTGTGTGTGTGTGCGCGCGTGCGTGCGTGCGTGCGTGCGTGCGTGCGTGCGTGCGTGCGTGCGTGCGTGCGTGCGTGCGTGCGTGCGTGCGCGCGTGCGTGCGTGCGTGCGTGCGTGCGTGCGTGCGTGCGTGTGTGTGTGTGTGTGTGCGTGCGTGCGTGCGTGTGTGTGTGTGTGTGTTCGTGTTTTCTGTGCCTCCTGTGGGCCCCTCTTCGCCGAGGCTGGATCCCCCTTGAAATTCTGGTCCGCAGGCCCAAACGCACCCCTGGAGAGGTCCCAGGGTCGACGTTCGACCCCGGCCCCCACTTGGATCTAACATCGTAAATTCCAGATCCCCAGAGGAAATAACCCCCAATGCCCTCTGCTGTGACCCCCTCGGCGCCGCCTGACATCCAAGTGCGCAGGGCGCCGAGGAGGAGCGCGGGGGGGCATCGCGATCAACGGTCCTCTCATTTTCCGAACGCGCAGGCGACGATCACAAATTATACCATTCACAAACGTTGCCGCAGGAACTCGGCGCACAGACACTAATACATGGAGGAGAAGGGGGAGGAGGAGGAGGAGAAGGATGAGGAGGAGGAGGAGGAGGCGACGACGAGGACTGGGGCGAGGAGAAGGATAATGGCGAGGATGAGGAGGAGGAGGAGGAGGAGGAGAAAGGGCGAGAACAACCTTCGACCTTAGATGCCTTAGACTCAGACCTTAGATAATGGATACGAGGACCAGGCCGAGGATGACAAGGAAGAGGAGGGGCGGGAGTCGGAGGAGCGGGACAAGGGATAAAGGATAATACAGGATAAGGGATGGGAATGAGCAGGAGGGCTACGCCGCACACGCGGCCCCGCGGCTATGCGCCACGCCGATGGGGGGGGGAAGGCGCGAGGGAGAAGGAAGGGGGAAGAGGAGAGGGCAGACGAGCAAAGAGGCAAGAGCTCGGAGCGGGATCGGTGGCAGTAGCGCCGCCAGCAACGAGTCGGGCGCCCTGAATCACCCCTCTCTTTCTGCTCCCCTCCCTTCCTCCTCTTGTCCCTTCCTCTCCCTCGTCCCCTAATCCTCCTCCACCTCCGCCTCCTCGTTCGTCTCCTTCCCAGTTTCCCTCATCCTTTTGCTCCTACAACTCTTTCTCATCCTCCACCGCCATCGCCTGCTGCAGGCCGTCGCGCTTGTTGCCCCCCGCCTCGTTCCTCCTCATCCTGTTCCTCATCCCTCTCCTCCTCCTCCTCCGCCGACTCTCCCTGATCTTCCTCCTCCTCCTCCTCCTCCTCATCCTGCCCCTCGCGCACGTCCACCTCCTCCCCCTGCCATATTACCCCGTGCCTTCTGCTCGTCGTCGTCGCGCTCGTCGTCACCCTCCCTATCCTCATCCTCCTCCTCCTCCGTCTCCTCCTCCTCCTCCTCCACCCTCTTCTTCATCCTCTTCCTCCCGCAACTGTAGCCGCCAGGCCCACTTGAGGGTTAGTTACTCAAACTACGGCATAGCGCGTAGCTCGCCGCATCCACTGCGCGCTACACACTGCGCACTCCACGCTACTCACGCTACTTACGGTATGCCGTCCTCCCTCTGCCTCTCTTTCTCCCGTTCCTCCATTACCCCCATCGTATTACTAGGTCGTAGGACGTAAGACCTTAGACCTACGACCCACGTCGTAGGACGCAGGCACGTAGGCTGTTCCAGGTCCCTTCTGATCTGAAGAATCGTCATTGTCCTGATCGCCCTAGCCTCTAGCCGCCTTCTACACTCTAGCCGCTATCCATTAGCTCTAGCCTCCTAGTACTAGTCACTAGTAGTCACTCGGGCCTTTAGTCACTAGTCCTCTAGTCTCGTCACTAGTCACTTGTCGCTACGGCCGCTAGTCCCTGACCTCATCCTCCTGTTTCTTCTCCTCCTCACCCTCCCTCCTCCTTCACCCCTCACTCATCCCGCTCCTCCTTCACCCCCTTTTCCCCCCCCTTCTCATCTCCGAGATCCTTGGGGGGCCCGCGTGGCAATGCCCGGCGGCGAGACTAGAGCGAACAAAATTCATTGCGCCTTCAGGCGAGCGCCTCGCGCGCTGGCCCGGCGGGCGCTCCATAGGAACGTCTCCGGCGAGCGCCCCGCGCGCTGGTCGGAGGGGCACTTGGGGTCCAGAGGCGGTGAAGGGCGGCCGAGGATAAGAAGGGCGAGGAGGGGGAGGGGGAGGGGGAGGAGGAGGAGGGGGAGGAGGAGGAGGAGGAGGAGGTGGAGGAGGAGGAGGAGGAGAAGAAGGAGGACGAGGAGGAAGAGGAGGAGGAGGAGGAGGAGGAGGACGACGAGGATGGTGACAAGAAGAAGGATCAGCAGCGGGAGAAGGGCGAGGACGAGGAAGAGGAGGAGGAGGAGGAGGCAGGATAGCAGATAACATATAATCATGAGGCGGGGGATGCGGCAGAGGAGCTGGAGGACCTGCAAGAGGAGCAGCAACAGCCGCGGCAGGATCAGGAGAAGCACGGCGAGGAGGAGACGGATGAGCAAGGGGTGAGAAGGAAAGGGGAGTTGCGGAGGAGGATGAGAAAGACGAGGCCAGAGGAGGCAGGGCGAGCATGAGGGGGAGGAGGAGGACGATGAAACCCGCACCGACGACGAGACAGCCTGAAAAGTAGAAGGAGCAGCAGCGGCAGCGGCAACGGAGGTAAGAACAAAGCCTAAAAGAGGAGAGAGACATTAATATAAGAAAGCGGCGTAGACGCGCGCCGTGTCTCCCGAGCGATTTGCACTGCCGCCAGCCGAAGCTGGGTTAAACCATGAGAAAAGCAAGAGGGCCTGGCCTAGGTCCAGGTAGGGCCTAGGGCCTAGGGCCTAGGGCCTAGGCCCAGGCCTAGGCCCTAGGCCCTAGGTAACCCTAGGCCTAGACAGGCCCCAACAAGCTTATCTCAAGCCCTGGGAAACCATGACACCGACAAGTAAGGAATTGGGAGAGGCAAGGCGACGGAAGCCGCAGCAACCTCAAGCCTGGAAGTGGCCCAGGCTCACGAAGGCGGACACCGCGAGCAAGTGGGGGTCGACAAGCACGAAGCCGTGCGCGAAGACGTAGGCGCAGTCGGCGAGAGAGGCAATATCCGGTCCAACACAGATCCAGTCAGACTGTTCTGGCCCTAGGGCCCTAGGGCCCTAGGCTTTTTTCCCCTGCAAAATACCCTGCACATGGTTGAAGATCGTCTTGTGGAG